ACAGAATATATATCGTTATTTTTCTTTGAGAAAATTATAAAAAATTCCGGTTATGTTATAATAGAATCTAAAATGACGTCATCATGGATTTAAATAAATTATATCTATATTTTATACAAAACAAACATGACCTCCTACTCTTAAGGCAAACACAAATTTTCATTTCTTACCCAAAATAGGGAAAACACTACCAAAAATCCCAAACTATGCCACTTGTGACAAATTTACCCTGACCTTTTTTTTGTAATACAAAAAACCTCAAACTATACCACTTGTGACACATTTATCCCACAATACTTTGGCCTAAGGGCGTTTTCGTCTTTTTCCTTTTTCTTTTTTCTTTCTTCTCTCTTCCCTCCGCCGTGGCCGGCGGAGGGAAGCCGGCGAGGGCGGCCCTCGCTGGCGTTGGGGTTGGGCGAGGGCTGCCCTCGCCGGATCTGACGAGGACGACCCTCGCAGGCATCGGGCGAGGACAGCCCTCGCCCAACCCCAACGCCGACAAGGGCCGCCCTCGCTGGCTTCCCTCCACCGACCATGGCAGAGGGAAGAGAGAAGAAAGAAAAAAAATAGAAAAAGGAAAAAATAGAAAAATGCCCTTCGGCCAAAATATTGTGGGGTACATGTGTCACAAGTGGCATAGTTTGGAGTTTTTTGTGTCACAAAAACAAAAATCTTTCCTATCTTATACACTCTTACAGAAACAAAAATTTCAAATCTTATGTATGTCAATTTTAATATTTGAATCTTTTCTATCTTATACACTCTTACCGAAACAAAAATTTCAAATCTTTGGAGCATTTTTTCTTTCCACATATATGTGCAGTTTCTTCATATCGTGTCAATATTTCTATGCAAACACGCAACTATGTGCATGTTTGTTAGTTATAATTAAGTAAAGCTTCTATATTAAAAAAATACGATTTATTACATCGAAAGATTTTACAAAGTTTTCATTACTGATAATTGACATAGATGTGAATCATCTATAGAAGTTTCACTGCCGCTGTGGTGCTATGTGGAAGAAAATCAGAAGAATATTCATAGCTTTCGTGCACACTGAGCTGTTTCTGTATGAGTTAGGATTCAAAAGTAAGTTTGTTAAGGCCTTGTTTTACTCAGACAATACACATTTTGACGAAATGTCACTTAGAACTGATAATGCTATATAGTTCTTGACATGTAATGGTTGGATCCATGAACCCACCTAGAATCTGGACCGGTAGTCCAATTCCCGGGTGGGTCCAAGAACCAATAGGCGTTTCTCGATTCTCAATTTGTGGAACCGGCCCTTAGTGGGCTGCTGTCCCCTACAATACAATGTGTGTATTTATGCGTGAAAATCCTTTAATTATGAGAGGAAGGGTGCTTTTATTTAAGTCCATAAATACGAAGGAGATGTAAATTTCACTAAAAATCACATATGCATGTGTATAACATCAAAGCACTTTTCCTCTAGCCACTTGGGGGGATATTAGGTGCGCGTAATAAAAATCTGATACTTTATCCGGAGAGATTGTTAAGAGAGAGTTCAAGTTCGAACTTGTCAACATATGTAGTTGGGCCCACCAGACCAACTATTCGACGTGGAACTTTTTATAACGTAACTCACGCGTGCAGCTCAACACAAGTCATGGTGATAAGGCTTGGACCGACGTGTAAGAGTTTTTCTAATGTGGGCTACATTAATTAAGATTGTAATTTACCATTTTACAGAATTGGTCTAATAAAGTAAGATATAAATATTCCTAATTAGTCTAATATGAAAAAGCCCGAACTCTGATGAGAGGGCCTATGACTGAAAACTCTATCAATAATGCTCAAGTATCTTCTCTAACCTTGATGCACGAATATCCACACATAAGGAGCAGTTACAGAAAATGAGGGGCAGTCTTATTAAGCCAATGATACTTAAAGTAATAGAGGAGAAGCACTTGTGTTAATAATCGTCGTTATTCTGTATCAAGAACAATAAATTCTAAATTAGGTGCACAAATCCTTTTATTCTTGATTACTATGTTTTATATTCTAATTATGGCAATCTTGGGGTGCCTTTTTTGCGACTTACACGACGAGTCGTGAATGTGGCACCAAGCGACGACCTCTCGGGAGCACAAATCCCTACAATGGTAACGTCTGAAAGTGAATAAGGACAACGAGGTGGAAAGGGTCATTACTAGTAACCTCGAAATGGAAAAGGATCAAACCTAACACGATGATTCGGGAACCATGATGACTGGTCTTTTCCGTTTCTCCACAATAAATGGACGGGGTGGTTGGTAGTTTCTATAACTCCTTCGTACCATGATGTTCATCGATACGTCCACGTAGCCCAGCTCTAAAGTTGCACAGCTGGAAAACCAAATGGGTCTTCCGTGAACTCTCTCTTTCTGATGTGTGTGGGAAAGTGAAAGAAACTTCCATATCTCAAAAGGGTGTTCACATCGCTTGGCCAAGAGCACAAAAAATTTATTTGTTATGATAAATTATGGGTTGGCAAATTGGAAATTTCCTTCTCCAGTGGGGCATTCACATAAGTGGCTGTTGCGTTGGCCACGAAGGCATTTCGCAATTTTAAGGATGGGATAGCAAAACCCAAAATAATAATAATAATAATAATTGAGTGAAGTGTTAAATATTATGTTTGAAGTATCTCACATAACTTTATATCGGAGTCGGATTCAGGCTCGATTTATTTCGCGTGTGTCGCCCCTCGTTCGTCACATTTTATGTGCCGTTCCTAATTTGACTTGCACGTGACGTGAAAGTGGCATTAGATATCCTAGCTTGTTTACCGGATGCATATACACTTTATATTTGTATATGCGATCTCCCTCTATCTATTGATTCAAACTGTTGGATTGAACATGCTAAGGCATTCTTTTTCCGTGTAAAATCGAGGGTAGTAATCAAGCCTCAATCTGTCAACAAAGTGACATTGAGTGGCAAAAAGAACACCGACGATTTTGAATTGTTTTGTTTGCGAATGAAGGTGATTGTGATTTTGAACTATTCTATTTTGTGTGACAATGATAACATGAAAGAATACTCAGAATAGATCCATAGCATGGGATGCCGGCACTCTACTTGCTTCCCTTAGAGAGAGAGAGAGAGTATACTCCTGTTGAGCAGAGTATTTTTTGAACCAGCCCCAACCTCATAACTCATTCATAAGTTTTCATAACTCAAAAAGGCGAAATCGAGCGAGACATGTATATTGCGTGTATTACATCCTCATATACTGAATACCTAAATACACAAACAGCTCGTCGGTGTCAAGATTAAGAGATAGAGCGTGCGTGCGGAGAAGTTATTACATAGACTAAGTGTCTATGCAAACCGTTATAAGTCATTAATTATGTGCGTCGCATTATAAGGCCCATGCATTCGATGGTTATGATGGTATTGGTCTATATAGATCGAGCCTTTGTAATATTTTTCCGCGTGTGCTTGGCGGGCCTACGATATACAAGCAACTTGTATGGTATTCGTGTCCGAACTTCAACTATAAAACGAGTCCACGCCCAAACAGACGCACACACCATTGTTGACAAAAAGATTCACATCCATTCCTCGCACCTGCGGAGAGAGAGAGAGATGGGGAGAGAGTGTCATCCCACGTTGAAGGGCATAATCAGAAGGGAGAGAGAGAAGAGGCTGTTCAGGCGCGGCCTCTCCTCGCGAGAGATGGAAGCTCTCGCCGCCGTCTGTGAGACGGTGTTCCCTCCGTTGAGTGCAGGGGCAGCAGCGGCGGCGGCGGCGGCGGCTGCGGCAGGAGAGTTCGAGGGAAGAACGGACCGAGTGGAAGAGAGAGCCGACGAAGCCGTGCGCTTCTTTTATGAATTATCTGCCTCTCAAGCTCCAGTGCCTCACGAGGTAACTAAACTCCACGTCCACGCTCTCTCTCTCTCTCTCTCCATTCGAAAGATGTTACCTTGAATTACCAAAAACCAACCATCAAGTCGACAACTTTTTGCCATGTTTGTGATTTTGAGTTCCTATGAAATCAACTATTGTTCTTGCTAAACGGACAATTATATTACCATGGATCATCACGGTATTACCATAGCTGGTTCATGGTCTCATAAACTCTCTCCATCCATTCGGATTTTTGAGAAGTAAAACCACTTCCATGCAAAAGCGTATATACTTGAGTGTAATCAGAAAGTCCGGCAGCGATTAAGAGCTTGATTCAGGTGCGATCGAGCTTAAACCGAGTCGATAAAGGGTCGCGGTAACTTCTTCCGTTAGCCCTGACCAGAGAGTGGCCAGGCCTCTTTTAATTCATAGATTGGTCCTGCTCATGGTAACATTTCGTTACATTTTTAACACCCCCACTTGGCCATAAGTCCATGTCGCTGTGCTTGGCACGATGATACGGGGATCTTGTGTCCCAAGAAGCGTGGATCTGACAATTCCATTGCCCCCTAATTCGTTGCGGGTCGGTCCCGACACCGACACAGACATGACGAATAAGAAGTGGGAACCCGACAAACGGATGTGGATTGTATTGCAGGTGGCGGAGCTTCTAGGGAGGAGGGGACTGATCGAGGCGGTGATCCTGGTGCGGACGGTCCTGTGGGCGCTGTCAACGAGGCTTGGCACGATGCTGCTGTGCGGCTCGCTCTGCGTGGGCGGGCGATGGCCTTATGTGAACAGGTTCTCGAGCATGGGCTCGGACCGGCGGGAGAAGGTGCTGCGGAGAGGGCTCAACCATCGGTTCCTCACGCCTGTCCGGTTGGTCTTCATGTATCTCAAAGTCTTGTGCCTCTACGTCCTCTTCTCTCGGGTAATTCGTTCACACTTCCTTGGTTTTTGAGCAAAATTACCAAGTCTTCGTCATAAGATAACGGCAGGTCAGCAATTCATAGCATTAACCCACCTAACCCTCCATGATATATAATTAGTTGTTGAAGGGTGGATTAGTCTCGGCTTATTATAATTTACAAGTCAAGCATTTTTTATGATTTGTAAAAAAAATTGGAGATTGGTCAAACCACAATTGCGATCAAATGTTGAATTCATAGCGCACTTGCCTTGACAAGGACACCCACAACAATATAATAGATCAAGTTGTCGGGTATTAATGATTCGTGAAAAATATATCAACTACCTTATTAATCACCGTATAAATAGCTCAAGATGAAGTGTTGATGAGCATATAAATCCATAATTAAGGTTATTAACGATGCTAACTCATACAAAAGTCTTCAATTTCACACAAGTCTAGATAAAATCCCTCCCCACATTCAAATAATCACAAAAAGAAAAAAATATAATTTAAGATGGTTGTTCCATCCAATGAATATTCCTTAGACATTGAATTTGGATTCAAATCTCGAATGCTAATCTAATCTGTTTGTCACATCAATTCCGAGACGTACCAACAATTTCTATTTCATAAAATAAGTGATGAGAGAGAGCTAGCAAGGAAAACCACCTTCCAATTCAAATCTTTATTTCATGGCCCAAAATGCACGTTCGATAGTAGCCATTAAACATGGAAAGGAGTCAATTCAGGTTGAATCGGTCTGCCGACACGATGAGGAAAATTTCCTCTAAGTTTGACACCATCAAACGAATTAGTGACACCAACCCAAGATGCTCCATCGCTTCTGGTGTTCAACATTATGCCTGAATAATAAGCTGAAAAATGTCCCCGGTTGACATCTCGAATCCATTTTCTCTTGTTCTATAAAATCTTATAGATAAAAGTTAGGGATAACCCTCCGAACTTTTGGGGTAGTACATCTTTGTCTCGAGAACTAAGTGCTAGGCAATATCCTCTAAAATTGCATTTTGTAAGCACCGTTAACCTAAATGTTATATTTCTTGTTGGCATGTACAATGCACATGAATTTTTAAGGGACAGAAGTATAATTTGATCTCATTTTTTTTAAGGAAATCGCTTTTTTACCCTTAATTGCTGTAAGAGAAATGAAAATGTAGAAAATAGGAGCAAAACTAAATTGACTTAACTACTAATAATAGAAAAAAGATTGTCGATAGTAATATTGGACAATTAGAGTTTGATTAATATAGCCGCTTTAATAGAGCTAAATAAGATATTTTAAGAAGAAGAATAAACACAGGTTGAACACAAAGGTAAAATGCCTCAACAACAAAAAAGGTCAGATGACAAAAAATGTTTACCATTATATATACTTAAAGGGTTAATTAACATTAAAAATGATTGATTAAAAATATTTTAAATTATAGAAGAAAATGATGCTCTGAACTCATGAAAGGAAATGATTAATCGAAATAGGCGATGTTTTATAAATCTTTTATTGATGATCTTTTCTTGCGTCAATTAACCATTTGAAATTACATGTCGAGCATTCAATTTTTGTTATTTTACCTTTTGGATATTGATGTCTTTTTGATTCAATTGTGTTTCTTTTTCTTAAAATATCTTACTAGTTCTATTAATAATTCATCAACTCTGACATTCTTACTATTTAATAATACTGCCGTTATCTATGTTTTTTTTTTCTTAACATTCATAGTTTTCGTTAATTTGTTTTTCTCCATTTTCCTTTGTCTGTTCATTTCTTTACCGAGACGAAGAGTAAAAGAGAAATTTCTACGAAAAAAAATGAGATGAAAATACAAATTTACCACTTAAAATTCGTGCGTTGCACATGCGGACGGAGAATATAATAGAGGGTTAACATTTTAAAGTTTGATACAAACGAAAAGTGTATAAATTCAATGCAGGATATTCTTGGTAGGGTTGTAACTTAGAAATGTCGTCGTGAGATTTTCAACTACACATTGTGCAAGTGACAATGAAAGAAAAATTTATTATTGGCGAGACTTTCGTCTTCATAATAATCTCTTCTTTCAATTTAGGCGACTGTCTAAGAGATGGACACACGTGGAGATTATGCTATTAGGAAAGATTTATCTTCCACTGACAATTAATGTATTGGAATATAATCTTTTTACACTATAGTTTACAAAAAATTGAAAATGAAGTCTATTCATAACTTAGGGGAGAGCCCACTTGTGTAGAGGCACATGAACATGTATGACCCATATAATTTATGAGAAAATTGATGAGACCAAATTGCACTAACTACCCCCAATTAATGCACACACATCCATGTATGGGCACTCTCCTAAACATATGTATCATATTTTTTCATGTGTAACTCGTTTTTGGGTTTCGTATCTAGATGAAAGGATGGAACCCCACAATTCGATCTTGATTAATTTCGCGAGATATGGAGATTGGTTTATAAAATTGGGTCACAATGAAATGTGATAAACCTTTATCGATGCTTGATCATTACTTCATTTTAAATCTATTTATGTATATACACACTCAATTTAAGCCATGTTTCACATATAAAACACAACATGAAGAAAAATCAAGATAAGCAGCTAATGGTAAAATTACCAAAAAAGTCCTAAACCTTTTGATAAATTATCAATCGAGGCTTGAGCTTGCAAATCCCGGCGAGGCTCACCCTCACCGCGTCTATGTCAGTAATTTCCTACCAAAATTAACCAGTATGACTAAATTGACAAATTGTCAAAAGGTTCATGACTCAATTGGCATAATTTCCGACCAAAAAAAAATTAACACAATTGAAAGGTCCAGGACTAAATGGCACAAGTGCAACAGATTTGCAATTTGTTTTTGGTAATTTCCCCAACAGACAATTGCGTATAAGAGAACATGCAGAAGAAAAACAAATTCTCAAGCATTCTCAGTTCATTGGGTCTCCATTTGCATATTGCAAGACAGCTCATACAGATGATTGAAAAGCTTTGCAAAAAAATGGAGGACAAGTGAAATCACCCTCAACTCGCCCGATCATCACCGATCCTTCTTCACCGGCTTTAATTTATATTTTCAGTCAGTTTCTTTCCCAAAACTAGTCATGACTTCTTTGGCTTCCATGCCTTGGCATCTCCTGAACACCCTCTGTCCAATCTCTTCATGCCAAATCTCACCTGGCTTGATGCTTGTGAAGATTCTTTGGTTTCTGCACGTTTTGGTGAAAGAGACTTGTTCTGCAGTTCGAAGATCGTGTTGGAATGGAAAGAGACACTTGACCAAATTTTACCATTCTTGCCTGGTCATATCTCATCAAATTATTACTTTATTGAATATCCTTCTTGTTCTAGATTGTCTACTTTTGCCTTTTTTATTTTTAACATTTTCCCTTAATTCTTGAGCTTTTCATGTGAATCAATTTAGGATGAGAGTAATAATAATATCAAAGCACTAGTTCCGGTGAGAGTAGAGAAAAAACTGGGCACGTTGAAGTCATGCTCTAATTCTTAATACTGATCATTTTTATGGTGCTGCTCAGTGTACTTGTTGTGAGTATTAAAATCTGAATGCTGACTGATGCTGAGTAAAATCTCCAACAATGAGGTACTAAAGTAAGCTCACAGTAACATTCGTGATGCCTTAACTTTTCACAGAAGATGGACAAGAATAGAACGATTCCGAAAGATCCAAAGCACAAATTTGGCACAGAACAGACCAGATGAGTTTAATTGAAAATTGCCCCCGCAACTGAAAATCGTTACCTTAGTCGCTTGATGGTAATCGGTACTTCGATCAACGGCCTTTTTTATCTAGTCGAACTCCACCCATTGTTTTGTTTGCTGCATCTGTCCGAGGGAGAGGAGGGAAAAAAAGAGCCAACTAATACTAATAGCAGATGCTAGCTAATGAATCCTGAGGTCTATTCAAGATTCACCATTCAGGGATTTATCCTCTGTAATGCAAGATGCAGGGATTCTTGAGGATTAGCTCGAAAATTTTCCAATATTTATTTTCTGATCTTGCAGGTAGACGAGAAAGGAGAAAACCCGTTATGGAAAGCCATTGGGTATCAAGTAGACGAGGAGGAGGAATTGTCGAAACCTGAAATGGGAAGGCCACTTGAGAAGGGAATCATAGAAACCGTTTACTCTACAGATCCAGACCTCCTCCAATCTTTCAAGCAAAAAGGCCTGGAAGTCGCACAGGATTCCAAAAACAGGATTTACAGAATCAAGTGCGATGCTGTCATCTTGGGCTCCGGCTGTGGCGGCGGGGTTGCAGCAGCTGTCCTGGCGGGTTCCGGTTACAAGGTGGTGGTTCTAGAGAAAGGGAACTACTACACCCACAAGGACTACTCTTCCCTGGAAGGCCCCTCCATGGACCAACTCTATGAATCAGGAGGCATACTAACAACTTCCGCTGGGAACATGTTGATACTAGCAGGGTCCACGGTTGGAGGCGGATCCGCTGTCAATTGGTCTGCGTCCATCAGGACGCCCGACACTGTCCTCCAAGAATGGGCTGAGAAGCACGGGATCGAGCTCTTTGGCAGCAAAGAGTATGCCTCTGCCATGGACATTGTGTGCGAGAGGATTGGAGTGACAGATCAGTGTGTGGAACAGGGCTTTCAGAATAAGGTCCTTCGAGCGGGATGTGAGAAGCTTGGCCTTGAGATCAACGCGGTGCCACGGAATTCCTCGGAGGGCCACTTTTGTGGCTCTTGTGGCTATGGCTGCAGGAGGGGAGACAAGCAAGGCACCGACAGCACCTGGCTGGTGGATGCAGTGAATCGCGGCGCGGTGATCCTATCAGGATGCAAAGCTGAGCGGCTCGTCTTTGAGAGGAACATTCCTGGTAGAGCACGAAGAAAGAAATGCATTGGAGTGATTGCGAAATCAATGAATGGCGATATTGAAAACGTCCTGCAGTTTGAGGCCAAGGTAACCGTTTCGGCGTGCGGGGCCCTCCTGACACCGCCTCTCCTGATCTCAAGTGGACTGAAGAACAAGCATATTGGCCGGAACCTCCGTCTCCACCCAGTGGCAATGGCCTGGGGGCATTTCCCTCTGGACTCGAGCTCGCAGCTCAGTGGCACATCCTACCAGGGTGGGATAATCACGTCGATCCACAAGGTCGTTGAGGGAAATCCATATCCAAAAGTGCGGGCCATCATCGAGACCCCCTCACTCGGACCCGCATCATTTGCGGCGATGTGCCCTTGGGAGTCAGGCCTTGACATAAAGGACCGGATGACCAAGTACGCGAGGACCGCTAACTTCATCACGATAGTCCGGGACCAGGGGCGTGGGGAAGTGACAAGGAAGGGAAATATAAGCTATAAGCTGGACTCGGAGGACAAGGAGAATCTCAAGGCAGGCCTGCGGCAATCACTCAGGATCTTGATTGCCGCGGGGGCAGATGAGGTGGGGACCCACCGGAGTGACGGCCTCAGGATGAAGTGCAGGGGAGGGACTGCCAGTGAGGACCAAGTGGAGGAGTTTTTGGGCAGAGTCAGTGTAGAGGATGGCCCATTGGCCATAGGTGAGAAGTGGGGAACTCACAGTTCTGCCCATCAGATGGGGAGTTGCAGGATGGGAATCAATGAGAAGGAAGGTGCAGTGGATGAGAAAGGGGAGAGTTGGGAAGCTGAGGGTCTGTTTGTGTGTGATGCTAGTGTTTTGCCCACCGCCGTCGGTGTCAACCCGATGATCACCATCGAGTCCACAGCTTATTGTATCGCCAAGAGAATAGCTGAGTATTTGTCGGCGCGGGGACTGCTGAAATCGCCCAAATCGAGGAGTGACATTTTGATGAATGATAAGTGAGTTTTGGGCAGCCCCAGATGTACAAACCATTCTTTTGTTGTATAATTTGTTAAGCTTACGTATAAAAAGTCCAGGTGTTGCAGACAACTTGAGGTGTCATAGGAGTAGAATTAAGAAGACGAGTATAGAACCCGAATTACGGATCGACTTTATGAGATTCTATGTGAATTTGTTAGGTACATCACACCCAATCTGAAATTACACGATGGTCTCGCAATATGAAGTAATTTTCTGTTCGCTCCGACTCACTGGAGCTGTTCGCTTTCTTTCTTGGAACTGCTTTATGCTTCAGGAAAACATCTCCAGAACTCAATGTCACTACCCTAAAAGGAGTTGAATAAATCACAGAACAAAGGGCAAGATGCAATGAGCATTCCTCCAGCACTAAACAAGTACAGGAATGCTCGCATATGCAACCCAATGAATGAACACGCTTGGCATCCTTCATTCTCTTACACGTGGAGTTGGGACACCTTTGTGACTAACGATCTGACCTTGTTCTATACATACATAAATTGATAAACCGACTTGTACACACACTTACAATTGAAGCAGAAGTTTATTAGCGCTTAATGCTTGGGGGCAGCAGCAGAATTTCTCATGGTTTGCCTCTAAATGTAAGTGAAGTATGACAGCTTTGCCTCAGTCTAGTGGCTTAATTCAGTCGTCCGAGTCCATCTCTCTAAATGGTAAAGGAACCGTCTTCACTGCTCGGAACTTCCCGACATTGTTCAAATGTTCATTCTCCAATCTGCACATTCATTTTTCAATGAAAATTAGTGGCGGATGTTTTACGAAAATGACATTTAAATCTCTGGCTAAGTTTGTTCATAGGACCTAGGACAACGAACTCAACAGAAGCACAAGAGGAGAAGGTGGCTGGAATGTACCTGTAGAAGTTCCAGTGTCCTCGACGAATCACTTCCAATGAAGCCAGGAACAAATCTAGCAAATGCGATTCGACAACTCCCACACGGAATCGCAGAACCGTCTCTACCCAAGCAAACCTCAGAACCGTGTTCAAAGCCTACAATAGCAAAGAGTAATCGTCAATTGTCATCGCTAAGTATTTCTTTCAGTATGGATCTATGTTTTACCAAGTGAAAGTGACATTGTAATAGATGCTAACCGAAGCAAAATCTATTGTCCTCTTAATAATTAATGATGTTTTAATTTATCTTGGGACAGATTGGAATCGGAAGGAATAAGGAACTTACGATAGAAATGACATAAATGCTTTTGTTGTTGAGGATTAGATCATCTCTGAGCCAAGAATTCTTGGATCTTCGGTTAAGGACACCCCAATCTTTGATGAAATCCCAATAGAGCTGATAAAACATAGCCACTGTCGAGGTCACCACGACTACTATCAGCCATGGCATCCCCTCCTGACGGGCATACGTGAGCCTTGCTCCAGCTGCCACCATCGCTGAAACATACTTCCCCATGTTTGCCAGATGGTTTGCATCGCCCTCGTCAAACCATCTTCTCGCACACTGAGTATCAACAAGAAACGCCAAGATCTCAGCTAATACAATTGAAGTTAGCTCATAATCATTTGATGACTTCATTTGTGGATGGATGTAGATTACCTGCATGGCACGCCAATAGTACGGCAAGAATGAGATCACGTAAGCGAGTTCTCTATAAAATCGCCCTGATTTACAGGTCTCATATTGGTGTGTTCTGAAGCTTCCAGCGAGAAAATAGCAGGCTGTCGATTCCATGTGCCTCAGTAATGGGATCTGCAGTGACAAACGAACAAACTGTGTATAGATTCCCAATGAACATAAGAAAGCAAAATTGAATATATAACGGTGTTATTGCAGAAAAACGACACTGGTGAAATTCACAGGATGACGTTTATTGTACCTGACTGGTTAGTTGGTCAGCCATGAAAAAGTCTACCATCAAAACCTGCATTCAGTTATATCAACTTCAAACCAATTCAGAGAGTGTGATTAAATTGTCTATTGCAAAGTTCTTCCATGCATTTGAAGGAGCAAAAAGTGTACCTTGCAGAAAGGAGAGCAGATAATGTTACGTATGACCCGAATGAAACAGTACCGAGTCGGACAATAGAAGACATTGAACGGACATACCAGCAGCAATATATAAACCTGCAAGTGAAAGTAAAAAAACTGAGACGAAATTCTTTTAATGTGTCTAATCACAACTTGGTCCTTGCAATGAAATTGGGGAAAGTTTTTGTACCAGAAGGAGGACTCCCGGGATGGGGTCAGCCCGGATTGACGAGAAACCATTGGTGCGCAGGAGGAGGTGAACGACCATCATGCCGACCACGGTCGTCATGGAGGTGGTGCAGATGAGGAACGCATCTCGGTACTTGAGCGCCGTGGTGGGCGAGAATTCGCATATGAAGTTGCAGTTGATTCGAGTTTGCTTCCACGCAAAGAGGTTGCATCCATACATTAACAGGTGCAAGCTGAACAATGCAAAGGCACTGCACAATACACAGCTTGTCAGTCATATTTGTGTGAAAATCAGCGCCGTGTACTTATTAAAATATAGCATCGGTATGTAAAAGTGAAGCTACACTATTGTTGCACTGAATCATCAAATTTTGACACAAGTTGATTGGAAATGCTTACTCAAGACACGACGAAATGATAGAACTCTGTACCTGAACACAGGGTACACAATGTCCACGTAATTAGGATAGGCTTTGGAGGAGAAAACGCCAGTTAGGTGCGCTAGTATTGCGTATAAGCTAAACAATGTGACGAAACATCCTGTGAGTAATCCTGCAGACAGAGGGTGGATTGGCAGTTTTAGCAACGTTAGACTTATTCGCGGCCTATTGAACTTCCGGGACATTTAAGATTACTCAGATAAACTTCTAATTGTACCAATATTCAGACCATTATCGACTTCGGTGCTAATTTAGTAAAGTTAAATGTCCAACTTGAGAGCGAGTTCGCAACTTGGGAGAGATCATTACCAACGAAAAATGTAACCATGTGAGAATCTCTTTGCTGGTGTGGTCTTAAGAACTTCATGGCCTTTTTCCTGTCATTGTTGGTGAAGTACTTGGTGAACATGGACTCCACTTCGTCCATTAGTCTAATAACCTTGCAGAATCACACGATAACTCCATTAGTAATTGTTAGGATAACCATAATCACCTTCAGCATGAAGTGCTTTAGAAATTTCCCTCGTGTACACAATCTTTGGAAATCCAGAAATTCTCAATAGGCTATCCAAGATAGAGGAACCCATTTCACAGATTTAGGTTAGAATCTGGAAATGAACCACTCTCCCATGCACACAATGAAATAAAACATAAGAATTATTTAAAAAGAATTTTGTGGAAGAAAAGAGAAATACAGAAAGTGGGGATTTCTTCAGTTTATTGCAAATGTCCTGAATCGGCTACAGATTACCAATAGCATCATCTGAGATCATCAGGTACCTTGTCTGAGCTGACAAAGTGGGATTTCTTCACTTCTTTTAGATAATTTGTGGATGCTTGTGGACCTGCAACCTGTTCATTCAGTAAGTAAAAATCACCAATTTGGTCTAATTCTCCAGCTGTGCGTTGAGCATCATGAATTGCTATAAATGGCAAAAGAAGCTCTAAATTCTTAACTGTGTTAACTCTATTTTCTACTCATATTTATGAAATTAGAAAAAAACAGTATAATAATTCTATAATATTCAACTAAGTTATTTAATTATTATGCTAATTGTTGTTCTATAGATAATATTAAAAAATAATTGCATTCTATAGGATATCATAGTTGTATTCATATAACTATCTTATTAAGTAATTTATTACAATTATGATTAAGTATGCTCATACGATATCTAATTATATTAACGGAATAAGTGTCATAATATTGTTACTACCAATATTTGTATAAAATAATAATAATTTGGTAATTATTATAATTATGTTGATTATTGGTAATTCTAAGATATATTTAACAATAAGAGGAGTACTTTGGAAATAGCTATTACAGCTTTGGTTGTACTAGCTATTTTAAATAATCTATAATGCAGTCGATCATGTTACAGCTATTATAATATATTACAGCTATCATAACATATATGTAATGTAAATACAAGAACATATTGTAATGGTTATAATACTATAACAGAGATGTTTGAGGTTGTAATGTAGTAAGTTGCTTTTGATAACCCATGAACACATGTGCAGACAAACACATAAAGTAAAATATGCGATTGGAAATTCTCTCTTTTGATTTTCTCCTACTCCTAATATTTTCGTAATTTAAAGGGTCACGTCCAATTGAGGTTAAGGTAAACGAACTCCGATAATACGCCGATGATAAGTTGAAAATTACATGCTTACCTTGTGGAATTTCTTTAAAATCTTCGTAAAAGCCATCAAATTTAATGAGCTGCCAAAGATACCGAAATAATTAATATCCATTAGCTATATTTTCCCAGCTTTTTTACTGAAGGAAAATATGTGCCAAGTATCAGCAATAAATAAAAGAGTGAATGATTGAATAACCTGTAGTTTTTCAGCAGAAAAAGCCCTCTGTAGAGCTCCACGAAAGCGCCTCTAATCATCTTCTCAGCACACTGAATCTTCTTCTTACTCATGCTGTAATCTTTTGTGCCATCCTTTTTCCTGTTCCTGTTGTTAACAAGGTCATCCCACAGCATTGTTGTGAGAGCCGTGATTGCGCCTGCTGCTGTTGTGCTTGGGATCCTCTTCATCATGCCCATCTTGGGCTTGCCTGTCTGCTTTGGCCTTGATGATGACCTCGTCAATGAGTTCATATAACTCGCTCCATTGTTCTCTAGGGTGGCAACCTCATGACCTTGCTCCTCTAAGGCTTCCATGGAGTTCTCATTGAGGAGGTCGCCAGAGCTCTCTGTGGAATGCAATCAATAAGTTTTTTTGGTAAGGTAATGCAATCAATAAGTTCATATATCATGAATCCATCGTCCAAGAATAATGGGATAAATTGCGCGCCAAGTTCTCTCTCAAATTCGATAATATCGTCAGGATAACGTAGCTGATTTTGAATTTTGTGAAATTAAGTTTGAAGACAAATAAAGTTGGGAAAAACCTAGCTAAGCACTTAATAAAGACATGCTAATAGCTCGGTATTGGCACTTTAAGGCCACGTTTGGGGCAGTTTTGGAAATGGACATTGGCCTCTAGAGGCGTTTATGCCAAAATTAAGGTATTCGGCAAGAAAATCTCAAAGGTCTTTGAACCAAAATTAACATTTCTAAAGGCCCTTAGCTCAATATAAGTCCCACCCAAATTTGGCTTCACGTATTTCTAGAATACTAAATCATTTTTCCTTCCAACTTTGCTCTCGCTAAACTATTGAAATTTGAGTTTTGCCCTCACCGGCTTTTAATTTACTATGCACGCATCACACAACGTCGCTAGCAAGCCCAGGTCCGATCGCCGATGAGCCTGGCCTGAGGTCGACGACCTCAGGGGAGGGTCACTCAGGGTCGCACGACCTCCAACAACCAATGCCTGAGTTAGGGTTCTCTTTCTTCTAATGTATATTTTAATAATTACGTAGATTGGGTGCAATAGTATTTACCCAAACATTATTTGTATTTTATAAACACTCTTTAGCCTAAAGTTTTTTTATATTTATGCTAAGGCATTTCCCAAAAGCTCTCCTAAATGCACCCTAAATAGGTTTTGGCCCGTCTGTTAATTTCAGCCGTTGATAGCATTATATATATAGTTGCCTATCTCGTTTGATTAGAAAACGCATACTGTTATACTCAACGATCGCTGTTCATATGATTTTTACATTTTAATAATAAAAAATTCATAGTTCTGTCAAACAATATCTTTCTCAAGCCACTAGTTATTTTTCTTGACAAATTTATGTTTCATGGCACCGTAGGTTGCAATAAGATGACTCAACTCTATGATCTTTCCCTGTCTAGAAGTTGTGTGCGCGCGTGTTATGTGATGACTCATTTCGTCAACACTCGCCTTTGTAGTTGTACTTGTAACACATCAATCCATCAATGTTCACAGATTGAGCTCCACCCACTTTGCGACGGACCCATGCAGGTTTCTCTCTCTAAGCTCCACGTGGCACGACATGAGGCCATCCATATTTTCCTAGGCAGAACTACCTTATTACAATTTTATGCCTAATTAAAAAAGCGGGTTTTCGAAAATGTCATCCTGTCGAATGAGTCACACTTTTAACGTCCGAGACAAATGTACTAGGCTCGGTAAAATTGTTAACTTGTTTACGAGGTCCCGAAAAATATTAGATAGATTTGTTCCAACATGGTACACACATTTCTCTCAGATTACAGGAAAACGACATAAATCGCGTGTAATTAGCAGGAAAATCGCTATATATTTCCAAGAAAATAGAAAAGTTTGGATCTCACCTGATGAGAAATCAGAGTCACGGCCAGAAGAAGACCGCGAGAGGCTTCCCTCGTTGTTGCCATTTGCCTTTAGCGACGATGAACTCCTGCGTCGCCTCTCGCTCAATATTCTCTTGAGGTCTTGCAAGATCTGCAGCTGTTTTTCGAGCTCCTCTCCTCTGTCCAGAAACTCTCTCTCCCTGCTCTCGTAAAACTGGTTCACCTTGTTAAGCTCTTCGTCCAGTGCCTCAAAGAACACTCTCACCTAAAGGTACTCAGTCAATGTTATAAATATAATAGAAATTCAAAGTGAATGTGTGTGTGTGTTTTGTGCAGCAATTGATTTGTTGGTCTTATTGGTGTACCTCGTGTTCTTCATCGAACAGCTTAGTGAGTCCGGTTTCACACGCTTCGTCCTCTACCTGTCCATTCTCCAAGTTCTCGCTCCTCACCTGCAACCAAACCCTAAGGATAAAGAAATCGACCAGAAGAGGAAAGAAAAAGGCAAGGAAAATGGATGTTTATTCAACAACTTCGTTTGTCTTTTGGTGTCGCTTTCGTATCTGGGTCATTTTCCTTTTCTTTTTTTGGTGCTCCATTCACGTTAGCTTCGTGAAACAAAAGGGAGACCCACCTGTGCAAGCATTTCTTCTTCTTCTTTTTCTTTTTTTCAGGGCAAGCACTATATATTAATCAGAAAAATACAAAGAAAATTTGACTTTGTCCCGGGATTTTTGCCCTCACCTCATTCCCATACGTCTCGCCTGAACAGAAAAATTGTAGCACACAAGTCCAGGCTCGAAAGAGCTCGAAGCCAAACAACCGCAAGATGATGTGGGTCGACAACAGATGAGTAGTGGTCGTATGAACCCGGATTCATGCGGATATTGCTCGGCTCGAAGGAGTGAACGTGAAAACTGGCAGCTCAAAAAGGGTATTATCTCTTTTCGGGTTTGTGTCGAGGACTCAAAGTCGTCAATATCTGAAGTTTGGAAACGCGTAGCTTGGACTACTCTCCTTACTAAACAACAACTTCATATGAAGCTATAGCTTTAATGCCCGATTAATAAAGAATAGGGTAAGTACATTCATTAATGAAGATTCTCCTATCGAGCTATCCCAAGTAATTTCGGAAGGTCTGACGGTTTTACCAGTCTGTGGATACAAATTATGTAAGAATTAGAGGTAAGGGCAGGCATCCAAAATGAGCTCACTATGTTGAAAACATGTGAAATTCACTGTTATTTGGGAAGCTTGATGAGATTCAAAATGGGTATCATTTACTAAAATAATACACGACGTTTTACCACTGTCACAAAATTTAACACGACCTTTCAAGCACACTTAAAGAGTTCACAATCTATTACCTATTGTGATAAATATAACATGACCTTCAAGAATTACCAAAAAAACTGCATAAATTTTGGCCCGTGTGACAAAAAAAATAGCATCTATCAGTATCTCGTCCACAAGCAGAAGGTTTGGAACTTTAGGCAAAAGGCCCTATTCCAGGCAAAATAAAATTTGGGTTCTTGCTTCATGCGGTGAAAGTTTTTTAATTATGCATGTTCGGAGAAAAATAATACGATGTCAGTGTTGAGAATACACTGCGAAATTAATATTAAATGAAAGTGGACTATAATTGGAGAGTTGAGAATGTGCCGGTACTAACCGTCAATGCAATAAGAGTCGGGTGAGCTGGCACGTGAATAAGATAACAACGAAAACTGAATAGAGTACTGGAGAATGTTATTTTCGTCAAAGTGGTAAAACGTTGTATATGCTTTTTTTTTTTTTTTTGTGGGGATACGCTTAAGAGGTTGTGTTAAATTCTTCACGGGGTAAAAGGCGATGCGTTCTCTTAGCACCTTTGAAAGATCGTATTAGATTTGTCACGGTGGTACAAGGTTTTTGAAAATTTTTATACATACCTCAAATATGGGATGCTGGACCACCGATGAGTGAATGGAAGAATTAGTTGCATCCCCACAGTCTTGAATGCAGTGGGATTCACTGTTTAAACTTGGGAGGGCCTAATTAACTTGAATTTTAGGAACAGTATCTCCCACAGACATATCGAGCGTCACTATCAAGAAAAGGATCGTGTTAACCAATGCTTTTAAAACGGTTCTTAGGCGTACTTGATATAAATTGTATTTATTTCGAATATATTTAGAAAATCGCCTTGTTAATTAGGTGTATTATTGGTTAAAGTGAGGGACAAAATAAGAACGTGTGTTGAAATACTTTGAAATATGAAAAAGTTTGGACAATTATTTTTTAACAAACTACTTATTTCAAATAGGGAAATTCGCGTGTTAGAAAAAAAACACTATATGACTAGTTTGGACAATTACTAGTATCTTTAATACCTAACAAAAGAGCAAGGAGCATAAAGTAGGGGGTGATCGTTTTTCGGGTTGGGCCGGTTGCACCCTAGAACTTGGACCAGTTCGGTTTAGGGTTTTTTTGCAATTTCCTTTTCTTACTCTTTAAAAGAAGATGGAAAATTACAATTTAAAAAAAAAACATATTGGTCTGGTCCGGTTCGAAAGGTTCAGTTCCGCAATGCAACTAGGAATCGGACCACCCATTATTCCTGGTTTCAAAAACAGCCCAGAACCGACGGTTCAATCTGATCCGATTCTTGTACACACCCCTAGCATAAAGTGATGAGGAATGAAAGTCAAGGAACCAGGAAAGTCGTAGTGGTTAGTGGAGTCCAAACACGACAGAAAAAAATCACCCTTAAAATAGATTATTTCGCTTGTGGGAACACTAGACAAAATCAATATTAATAAAGTAAACATACTCCACAATTGATGATTACAGTTATAGTAATCTAACTTAATTTATTGCTACTTTGTGTATAACTAGTATTACAAGTTTTTAAATTTCAAGTCACTAAAATTTGATAAAGTTCATTTTAACGCAGTGTATATCTAGTATTTACTAAGAATACCACCTTCCCTGATAAAGGAACACAAGACAAAGCTTTTCTACATAGCGATGCAGATTTTGCTTTAAACTTTCAGCACTTCTCTTCACGCATCCTATCATCTATAGCGGATTAAAGCTTGCCAGACCTAATGATAAAGTTCACTTCAACACAGTATAAGTACGTGCACAATATGAAAAGAGAAGGACGAAGGAAAGGCAAGAGAAAAGTTTTGTGTATGAACTTAATAACACAGAACAATGAAAAATGAAAATGCAGACTCTTTCTCTCATTCATTGAAGCACGGATTTTCGCACGCGAACGTACCCGAATCACGACTTGAGTGACGGTGTCGTTATCGCCGGCGGAGCTGCGAAACCTGTCTGCAATTTTCTTCGCCGCAGAGCGAACCGGGTCGATGAAAGTGGAGCTGGCAAGACCCCATTTGATCAGTGCCTCTGGATGAGAGGGTTTGGTGGGCTTTCTCGAGAGCTTGATCTTCTTCACGTGCTTCTTCAGTTGCCAGTAATTGACGAAGGCCTCTTTCCATTCCGGAATCAGCTGAGCTTCGAGCTCCTTCGAGAACTTCACCATTTCCCGTCGTCTTTCTCGTCCTCTCGCTCCTCCTCCTCCTCCTTGATTATTCTTTCCCAAATGATCGCCGCAAAGAAGGAGGAGGAAGAACTCTGTTGGCCCAAAAACAAGATGAGGAAGGAGGAGGAGGGCGAAGCGTGAAGATGGTATGATTTCATGGCGAGTTTATTTATAGAAAGTGCAAGAAGAGACGTGGAGGCAGAAAAAGTGCGGATGTTGCTTGTCGATGATGGATCTTCCTCTTTCTCTTTCTTCTTTTTCTTCCTCATTTTCTCTTAAAATATTTTTCTTGTGGGTGGGTTTTGTTGTTGCATTAATTTCAAAAGGAGGGTTTCTGAATACAGTGGAGATGAACGTGGTTTGACGTCATACCGAAAAAAAGGAGCGAAACGGTGTCCACTTCGTTTCTGTGACTCAAGCATTCATCTATCCCTTTGCTGGGTTAGTCATCATTTTGCGAGAGAGAGTACTAATCTTGAGCCCAATTACACCTTTTGGCACATTCATATGTGCTGTGGACTTAGGAACTCCAGCTGGTTCAACCCTTTCCGGTTGGTTCAACCCTTTCGATACGCCCATAGGGATCCTCCATCCTAAACAGTGCTACTATTGCATGTAATGTTCATCAGAAAGCCCTAAAGAACAAAACCTCCTTCTCTCCTCTGAGGAAGGTCTTGCCACTTTCAGTTAGATCTCGCCGAGATGTGGCCATTATTGTAGAGATCAATGCCTCGATGGCAATGGCCAGAGTGAGAGGCCCGTTGTCCTTAGCGGGCATAGTGAATGAGACGAACAACAGGGACACCAACTAGAGTAGCATCGGGAGTACGCAATGGAAGCCCGATACCTTCGCCTCGGGGGGATCGCTAAGAGGAGAGCCCAAGTTCGAGCCCGTCAACATATCCGTTGGAGGCCGCTGCTGTACTTGAAGTCCTAAAACATTTTGAAGCAAAAAGTGAACTGAAGATCGTGTTAGAGACAGATCGAACTGATCTGTTAGAGACAGATCGAACTGATCTGGTGGAGATGATGAGCGAGGGAGCAGATCAAGTGAGTTGGGAAGCTTATGCATTGATCACCGAAGCCCAGGCCCGCGCAAAGCTATTCAGCAATTTAAAGATGACCCATTGCCGAAGAGAAAGTAATCAAGTCGCGGATTGGGTCGCCAAAGCCCACCGTAATAAATATTTACCGGTTAATTGGATCGCTTATCCCCCTACTTGTCTTTTGGAATTGCTTTGTTCTGAAGCCTGTATATTGTCGCAAACTTTTACTTGAATGAGTATAAGATATAATGTTTACTGACCAAAAAAAAAAAACATATCCGTTGGACCCACCTGCACTTAAAAGCTTAAGCCACTGAGTTATAGGCCAATTATGATATATATTAGCTGCTTCACACCACACCAATTTTCCGATATGAGACTTCTCTAGTACAACTCATACGTATATTTCAACAATCTCCACCTCACATATGAGCTTAACATTAGATTTGCTCCTCCTTAATTCAGGTACCCTTCTACACCAACGAATCTGAACTTGGATCTCTATCAACACCCACCTTCATTCTTGATCTCTTTCTCCAGACCGAACCACAAAGGCTGCCATTGAGACTGCATTACTGCACCACAACATCCACTGCCCGGAAACCGCGTTGGTCACCAAATTTCTTTATTGAGATATTCACGAAACACCAATACACATTAAGAGTGGGTTGCCAATTATTCATCAACTTTGATGCCATTTGTTGGGAGCGCGTAACAGAAGCCCAATACCTTCGCCCAAGGAGATCGCTTAGAGGGAGCCCCAAGTCTGAATCCGTCAACATATCCAGTTGGACACATCTTCACTCGAATGCTTAAGCTAATGAGTTATGAGCAAACTATAATATATTAACTGTTTCACACCACACCAATTCTCCAACGTGGGACTTCTCTCACACAACTCACACGTGTATCTCAACAAATTGATCAAGAACTTGTTCATCCACTGATGTGATGATTGCAATAAACACATCTCGAAAAATATGATTTTATTGTCGAAAAATAGGCTATGAATAGAACAGTCAAAAAACACAATTCAATGTATCAGGAATTTGGTTCTCCAATCAATTGAACTGAAAATTCGATAGACGCGTAATTAGATTGATAGTATAGATCAACCAATCATTTGTGGTATTAAAAGACTGTATAGGTTTTGATACTTATTGTCGCGCCACGCTTTTCCCACCCGGAGCGCGCTAGGAGGTTCTTTCGTTCATTGCGAATGGTAGAGTAGTTCATCACTAAATGAACGAGGATCTCTCTCTGACCATACCTCATGAGACAGCAGGTATTTATTTTCTGTTTAGCTTATGTTTTATTTTGGAGTCGCCACTAGTCTTTAATGGTTGACTAGAAACCTAATCGAGACAAGGGAGAACTATCCCGATTTCTGCAAACTAGAGATATCATGGGTAGGGGGACTTGGTTATGTTAACAACTTCGATGTCGAAATCCCTAACGCCCTTTCGGTACCTAACTCGATTTGATGTGTCTAGCGTAGCATGCAATTTCTCAAGGCTTATCCGCTAATCCTAACTATTCTACACGAGGAGGAATCAATCAATTATGAAAAGCACAATCAATTCAATTCACAAACAACAATCCTAATATCGTCCCCAAAAAGGAAAATCAATCAAAACAATCAAAGCCTAATGAAGCCCTAATGGCTTGTTCATTTTTGGGGGTTGTGCTTTTTTTTAGGGGTTTTAGGAGTTAAACCCTTTTTGGGGGTTAAGCCCCCCTTTTAGGGTTTTTTAGGGGTTAAGCCCCATTTAAACTCTAAACTAGAGAATTTTCAAACGAACAACTTGTGCATCCCCAAAAATTCGAATTTCATTCAATCGGAGCTGGGTTTCAGATTTGTCGGGAAAGTCCTAGATTTGCCTAGATTTCATTTAAAATTTAAAAAATTCTAATTTTCAAATGAACAACTTGTGCATCCCCAAAAATTCTAATTTCATTCAATCAGAGCTGGGTTTCATTCAACGGGGAAAGTCCTAGATTTGCCGATCGGAGCTGGGTTTCAAGCCTTCCCGATCAGCCTCTTTACTGGCTGAGCAAAGGAGGAGGTCACCTGAAAGGTTGATTCGCCAGCTCCTTTTCTGTCGGGACGATGCCAGTCACTCGACCAGGAGGACCTCTACTCCTCTCTCTTAATTCCTCTCTGTCTCTCTCTCTCTCTCTCTCTCTCTCTAGTTCTCTCTCTTTCTCTCTTGGAAATTCTGTTGTTCAGCTTCTGTGCTGGGAACTGTTTCTCGCGCCTATTTTGATCTCCTCCCCGGGGCGATTTTTGGCCTCTAACCGCCTCAGTTGGCCGTTACAACGGTTCCCCGTCGACAGCTGGAGGTCTCTAGCTATCCCCTTTTCTTTTGCACATGCTGGAATGGGGATTCTAGGTCGGTAAAGGGGCGGGGTCAAATTGGTTTTTTTTCCTCCCTTTCCCATGCAGGTTGAGTCGGGTCGAGTTGGACCCGACCGACTCAGCAGACCCGGGTTGATTTAAAATTGCAAATTGAACCCTATTTTGACCCATTTTCACGATTCTAACCCCAAATTTCAATTCCTTGACACATTTTACCTTACGATATGGGATCAACTTGAATTTTTTTCTCAATTAAGCCCGAAAACCCCAAATTTGAATTCGGTTCAAATGTGTTTTTATTCAATTGAAGGTCCAAATGACCTAATTTTACAAATATACGGCCAAAATTGGATTCCCCATGGTTGATTACCCTTAGGGAAGGTATAAAATTTGATTGAAAATTTCAAATTGAAAGAAATCCCCAATTTGGTTCCTAAAATCCCTAATTTTCAATTAATTTTGGGGTTTTTCAATTTTTTTTTTCAAATTGTGAAGTTGGACCTACCAATATGAAATTCAAGGTCTCAAAATCAATTGTTGTGAAGACACTTATAGCCTAAAAATGCTTAGAAATGACTTAATTGGATTTTTGGTTCAATTAGGGTATGAAATTACCCAAACTTGGAAAAAACATACCCTAAATTGAAATTTTGTAAAATTTAAGCTGCAAGGCTGAAATTGGAATTAAAATAAGGCTAATTAATATTTTTGGGAAATTTTTGGACTTCATTTGCTATTTTTTTTCTTGATTTTCTCCTCATTTTTACTAAAAGAAATTAAGGAAAAATTAAAGAAAAATATAAAAAAAAATTATTTTTTGTTTAGAAATAGGTTCCTAAGCATGGCCAAGGTTCTTAATCCTAATTTTATGATTTTTATGTAAAATTAAAAATTGGACAAAAAATCAGGTGTCAACACTTATCAAAAGAGATAAGTGTATTGGAAGTCATAAAACTTGTTACAAAAGTGCAATTGAGTCATAAAACTTTCAAAAAGTACAATTAAGTCCTAAAACTTGTTACGAAGTGCAATCTAATCCTAAAACTTGTGAGTCCTAAAACTTGCAAAAAGTGCAATCAAATCCTAAAAATTGTCAGATTGATACAATCAAGTCATTTCGTTAGTTGCACTTTTTGAAAGTTTTAGAACTCAATTGCATTTTCGTGACAAGTTTTAGGACTTGATGGCACTTTTTTATAGTTTTATAACTCGATTATACTTTCATGACATGTTTTAAAACTCGATTATACTTTCATGACATGTTTTAGAACTCCTAATGCACTTATCCCTTTTCAAAATTTATAGATTTGGATCCAACCCTTTTCTGAAACTAAGCTTTCTATTCAGAATTCCCACTAGGTCTCTCATGCGGTACATGGTATTGGGGTGTCTAAATTAATGTGGCAAATCTTAGAAAAGTAATGATGGGACAAAGAAACATGTAGATTCTGGTTGGAAAGGAGTCAAATGTGGGCATTCCCCACCAACTTGTGTTTTGTCTCGTCGAAGTCAACTTGGTGTAACGGGGAGGACAGAGATTCGCATTGGCCGCCAGATTCTCCTCTAATCCTGTTTTTTTTATTTGCTCTTAATTTGTGCTTTTTTAACATTTTAATATTACCGCATTGAAAAAATTAATATTTAAATAAGCGGATCAGATACTGATTACCGCATCGAAAAAATTCGGTATATCTTTACGTGTATAAAATCCGCCACATCAATCAGAGTCAAATTGTCGCGTATTTTCGCCACTGTTTTTAATTTAGCATATTGAGATATCCGATTATTGGGATGCAAAATTTCATGGGTTTCGAAACAATTCTTA